GGGGCTGACAAAGGTGGTGTCCACAGCGGCCTGCACACCGCCCCAGATGGGGGGCATTGGCCACAACCTCCGGGCGGCGGTCACCCAGCACCGGCGCATCGAGGTTGAGGTCGCGCAGGAGCACGTTCTCGGCCACACTGGCGCCACGAACGCTTGTGTGAACACGTGGCTGCCGAGAGGGGGGTCGAGGACAACCAAGTCTTGCTGGTGGGGTGGCAGGGACAGGTCGCCCACCCAGCTAGGGTTTTCGGCGGTCCCGAAGGCGTCGACGCCTGGTGGCAGCACGCCGCCGGCGTTCCATTCGACCTGGATGCCGGCATGCGCCTGCAGACGCGCCTGCAAGATGTCGAAAAAAGCACGCGCACGGCCGGGCCGCGAGAGGATATAGACGTCATCTAAGAAGGCGAAGAAGACCTCCCCTGGCAGCAGCATTGCCTGTGTGGCTTGCAGAGCTGGGTGCTGCGCGAGCGCAAACAATCCAGGCATCAGGGGGTCGCCCTGTTCGCCCGTGTGTCTGCGTGTCTCTGTGTCTGTGTGTCTGCATGTCTCTGTGTCTGCGTGTCTCTGTGTCTGTGTGTCTGTGTCTGTGTGTCTCTGTGTCTGTGTGTCTGTGCGTCTGTGTGTCTGTGTGTCTGTGTGTCTGTGTTGTGTGTCTGCGTGTCTCTGTGTGTGTGTCTCTCTGTGTCTGTGTGTCCGTGTGTGTGTGTGGTGTGTGTCTGTATGTGTGTGTGTGTGTGTGTGTCTGTGTGTGTGTGTGTGTGTGTCTGTGTGTCTCTGTGTCTGTGTCCGTCACTGTGTCTGTCACTGTGTCGGTCGCTGTGTCTGTCACTGTGTCTGTCACTGTGTCTGTGTCTGTGTTCGTGTCTGTCTTTTTTGCCCAGTGCCAGTGGCAGATGCAACCCATGGTGCGTTCAATGCATTTTTTCCAGCTGCGCGAATGCCAAGATGCTGAGGGCGCACATTTGCATGTGTGCGCGTTCCAAACACCTGCATGAAAGCTGCTGGCTGCGGATTGCAGCCATGTGCGAAGCTGAAAACAGTTCGAGAACAGGGTGAAGCAGGAGCCGGGCGAGGCATGGGCATGGCCAAAAGCTTTGGACCCTGAGGGTGCTCACTGTCTACTGTCTGCAAAAATTTCAAGGATCCTCATCAGCAGTATCGCTGATGCTACCACATCGTGGTAGGTGGGGAACAGTTCATCCAAGGTTCCCGCCTTCACGAGGTTGTCCACAGAGCGGGGTCTGGAACCAGAGGAACGGATATTGCGGGCTTCTTCCGGGCCGGCGGACAAGTAGGTGCGGCAGTACGCGCCAGGAACTGAGCGATGCGCGTGGGCGTTGGCAAATGGCAGCAACTGAACTAGCGCGTGGTCAACATGGCCGGCAGGTCAAGGTGGATGGCGCTCACTCAGGACCTGGCAAGGCCTGTCCCAGCAGCTGGACGCAATAGGAAAACTTCCCGCGACAGCTGTGCGTGCTGTGGCATGGACCTGCGGTTGTTGGGTCCACCGCTTTAGCCGCGCGTGGCCGGCGCCCCCAGCCTGCGCGAGCCGCCGCTCGAGGTGAGGACGCTGGTCTCCAAAAAAGCCGGCGTGGTGCCTGGGGGACCGCCTTAAGCAGGGGTTTCGGGAGGCTCGACTCGTGCTGGCGCAAAAAGCTGGATCGCGCTGGGCTTCCGAACTGTGCAACCTCAGCGGGGCAGTGAGGGGACAAAATCAATCCGGGGGCCGCCGGTATATAAGTGGCCTGCAGGAGCAGACGTAAAAAGGCGCGGGGGGGAGAAAAAGAAAGAAAGAAGGAAGCAAACAAAATATTGTGCCTGCGGGCTGAGAATGGGCGTTTGCGGCCCATCAATGCTAGCGGGCGCATGAAGACCACAAATTCGTGGAAGTGGTGGACGCGCGCACGGCACCACAACGTCTCAGACAAGCGATCAAAAAAGGAAGCAGATGCGGTCGGGCGACGAAGTAAACATCATCGAGGTAAGCCGACAGCAACTCGTTGGGCTCCAGACAAGCTTTGATGTCCGCAAGCGCGTCCCGCGCGCCAATTGAGTTAAAGGGCCCGGCATCAAGGCTTCTCCTTGCTTTCGCCCTCGGCCTGAGAGACTGCCTGGCCTGGCCTGTGCCTTCGGAGTCACGCCAACCGATTTTATGCATTTTTGTCCACTCACGACTTGTTCTGTTGAGCTGGGGTGGGACGGAACCTACGGCAGCTAGCTGCCGAGAGCAAAAGGCTCGGCCCGGAGGCGCCAGCCCAAGGACGCGCGCCGAGCAAAGTGGAGGCTAAGGCGCGCTGCAAAGCCGTGCTAAGCAGCGCCCACCACCGACGGCGCCATGGCGCGCGGAGCGACCAGAGATGCACCAAGCAGGAGGCCATGCTGTGCGCCCCAGTCTCGGCCAGAACCACCAGCCGCCGGGGCCCTTGCTAGCGCAGCTCCGGGGCACCATGCCCCAACGTGTCGGGAGCAGTACACACCCGGGAGCCCCTTCCCCCCCCACAGCGCCCGTGCACGACGGCGCTCGCTCGGCCTCATGTATATGGCAAAGGCTCCGTGTTAATTGCGCGAGACGCGGCCATGAGGCCAATCACCAGGTCCGCCGTCAGCCGCGGAAGCGGGCGGTGCTGCTTGTGACGGGCACTCGAGCCAGTGCTGCCGCCTCACGCAGGCAAGGCGTGGCGGCGTCGTCATCCACGAGAAGCTCCCGCTGACATCCCTCCACTGCATCGGGGCGATTAGAGCAACACCGGCAAGGCATCAGCCCACGCCGCACAATTAAGCGGCCGGCGCGGTGCGGGCAGCCCACAAGAGACTAGGCAATTCATTCGTCGCTCGCAGGGCCTAGGGCCTCGCATTGGAGTGAAGGCATGAATCATCCGGCCTTCCGAGGAAGCAGTGCGACGAAATGGGCGCGGCGAGCAAATCGCGTGAGTTGGAAGCTTGAGACTCGAATTTGGCATTTTGTCGCACGCTGGAGGGAAGGAGTATGTTTTCTCTGGCAACTGTTCGATGCCCACGACCATCATGTGATGGGGCAGAAAATATTGCGTCGCGCTCTGATGACGGAACGTGCCTTTCAGACAGCAAGTTCCAGGACCTCGACACATCTTCCGCATTCTAGAATCCTGGTGATGAGAGGTTCATTGAACCAAATGAAGATCGGCGCAATGACTGAGGCTTAAGGCTGGGGATGCAAGGATGACAAGCATTAGGAAGTCCTGTGGCTAGCGCAAGCTGGTCGTGGGCGTGCCAGGCAGCTCCTGAGGGCTACGCAGCTGGCATCGTGCAGCTGAGGTTCGGCTAGAGGTTCGCACCCTGGAAAGCGTATGCCATGCCTGCAGTGCTGGTCGAACATTTGCGCAACTCGACGCAAGCCGGGCGCGAGCCGTGGACTCGGACGCATCCTGGCAGTCGAAGAGTGGATAAGCGGAAAGGGCACCGCGCAACTCGGAAAAGTTTCTGCCTTGCACTGGAGGCTGTGTTCGATCAAGGCAATTGGTGGCTCGGCCACCAGTTGAAAGCTGGTTACACCACTGCTGTTGTGTGGCCTCGATGTGTATTGCGTTCCAGCGCCAAGTGTGATCAGCCAAGTATTTCAGCCAAGGTCAAGTTCATGTGTGTGTGCGCGTGCGCCTGGGCAAGTAACGAATTAAAGACGTTGGAATGTGGCACAAGCATAAACTGCCCGGGCATCGCAACCTACGCAGTAAGAAGAAAGGTCAAGGCCACTTGCGCAGGCCGGGAAGCTTACCGCTTTTGTCTTCAGCGTGGGTGCCATGATCATAACTACCGGCCAAGGATCTAACTAGACCACGCACCCAGCCGGCATTTTACACATTGATTCCTTCGGGTCATTTGTTGAGGTGGCAGTTTGTGTTTCAATCATGTTCCTGTGGGACTCGCACGCTGAAAGTTACTTGGATCCACCAAGCTTTGGAGTCGGTCTGCTTGCTGTCTCAGCCTGTTGGTCCAACATTGACGTGCCGTGGCTCTCTGCTTGTGTCCGCTGTTTTCATCTTTTGGCGATCCAAAAACCATTGGTCTGCGACGGCAAGGTGCGCTGCAGCGCAAACAATCGCTGACTGCTTTATCCACTCCATCACTCTAGAAAACCGGTTGGATGCGCTTTTTATGGATATCACCTGTTCGTCCCCCCGCGTAGGTCCTCTTTGGGAAATGTTCAAGTACTCTTTTGATAGCTCTAGGGGGGTGGTCCACAAAAGTCACAATCCAAACCGTTTTCTAGACAAACCATCTCCGACGCTTTTATCTGCTCACGCCTTGCCGCTGTCTGCCAAGCACTTTGGACTATGGCTTCGGGAGTCCTCAAATACCTCAAATAGACCCAAAGGCACTGTTTCTCACTTCCGATCGACGGGCCCAAAAAAAGGTCCGAGCTTTCTATTTGCCACTGAACATGTTTTTCCAAGAAGTTTAAAGTCCATGAACCCAGGAAGTGAGTATTTCGGTTTCTTGAGCTCCTTGCAATTGGCTGAGGATCCCCGCAAAACCTCTGTGAGACATCGGCTGCCGGACAACAGAAACGCACAGAAACGCACCGAAACAGCGCCGGCCCTTGATCTGTCAGATTCGGTGCATGGCGCTTTGAATGGCTGACACGGTAGGGAGAGACTAAAGCTATCAACTGAGCCCATCATCAATGTTTTACAAGGCCTTATCCCTGACAGCAAATCAGCTGCATTTTCAACAGCATAATGCTGCATCAGTGCTGATGAAACCGCTTGCCATGAATGGGGGCGTGGTACCGTCATTCCGTAAAGAAGGAACAACACGGGCACATATATGTCTGTGCGTGTGTATGTGACGGGGGTTTTGTGGTTGTGAGTCAAACAACCAATGCTGTTGTTCTCGGAACGCTCACGTGGACTGTGTTGAAGCTACAGCGTCTGTTGAGAAGCTACAAGTCAACCTAGCGGGCTAATATCATGCTGTCCGAGAAACCGTCATACAACCAATTGCCTCAAACACTGGATTGAACTTGCAACTCATGGCACCTGTCAGTCATTCAGAGTGCGGGCTCACACATTGTGCCTTGACACCCCACTACTCACAACGGTCAACTCGAGCAAAGGTCAGCTACTAGTTCGTACTGAAAACCTTGCGCCCCAGGTCTGGGTGTTCCACTTGGTGCGTAGCTGCCTTGCTCACTTGCTGTGCATCTATGCCGACCTGCAAGGCATATGCAACAGCATCGTCTTCCTCCAACTTACAAGGCGCCTCATGAAGGGTATACATGTATGGTCCATGCACAAGGACACACACCAGCCTACCAAAGCTGGGTGGAGCTGGGTTTCCATTGAATCTCGTCAGCTAGCATGCGGTCAAGCCGGGGCAACCCAACGCGAACATCACCTAAGCTACGACCTAGAGAACACACAAACACTGCGAATCAGGGTTGGGCAAAATATGGTTAAAGAACTAACTCCTGGTCTCTTGAGGGTATCTCAAAGTTCCAAGGAGATTCATCAAGAATATGTTTCGCAATTCAACCTGGGCTTGACCGGCTAAACAAGTTTTTCCCTGAGCACCTCATCTCTTTTCCCTGAGCTGCTGCTGGTAGCCTTTGTTCTCCTCAAGAGCGGAAAGTCGCCCCTTGCTGGCTTAAGAGTAAGCCCTGGCGGTGTCCGATCTGAACAAGGTTCTTCCTGAAACTGTGGGGAGGCGTCCCAAAAAAGCAAAGCACATCTTTGGGATAGTGTCAAAAGGGGCACCCAAAACAACCCCAATTTGGACGGTGCCAGTACCTATTTCAGCAAAGACTGAGATGAACGGCAACCCAAAGCTTCTTGTCTATGCGTTGGCCAACAAAACAGCTCAGCCCCTGCCCTTCGCGTCTGCATTAAGATACGGTTAAGCCACGGTCTGCTACTCGTGGGAAATGTAGAGCTCTTCCAGCAAACTTCATGTGGGGCCTTGGCTTGTGGGGGCCTTCTGCCCTCCAGAAAAAAACTTGAAGCCACGGGAAAACACAGGATAAAACACCAAAAAACCCAGATCCCAAACCTGCCCAAGCGTCCAAAGTCGACGCTGGCTCAGCGCGTCTCAAGAACATGCCGACGTGATTTACTCTTGTACTGATGACTGCAACATCTAAACATCCGAACGTAAGCTGAGCGCACACAAGCTCCCACATGCACACTCGTGGAGAACGCACGCAACACTTCCACCCACAAGCGCCCACGTGCGCCCACAAGACCCGCAAAAGAGCGCCCACAAGCACCCATGAAAGGCATTAAACACTGCCGCCCAACAAGCGCCCACATGCGCATGAAGGCGACCCCCAAAAACGCCGCCCAGAAGCAACCGCAAGTGCCGGTGCCCGCACCATGGCAGCTAAAAGCGTCCACAAGGGCGCAAACCGCCCGCAAAAACAGTTCAGCCCCACATGCGCCCTTATGAACCCATGACTGGAGCGCCCGCAACGCTACCGCCCACACCGCCAAGACTTCCGCCCGCACGCGTTCATGACCCACCCAGACTGACTGGCGCCCACAAGCGCCCACAAGCCCACGTGCGCTCAAGAGGCACTTCTTCCAAGTGCTTGTATGCGTTCACAACCCGAAGCACAACACTTCATCAAGAAAGCACCTGCGCTCACAAGCGCCCACAAGCACTCATCACATCCGCCCACAAGCGACCACATGCGCTCACGCGCCCGCCAAGCAAGCGCCCGCAGCACTTCCGCCCACAAGCAAGCGCCCACATGCGCCCACATGGAAGCACCCACACGCCCACGAAAAGCGCGGCGCCCGCAACACCACCCACCAAGCCAAGAGCTACAAGCCCACCCCCGCAACCCTGCCCACCAACAGAGCACCCACGAGCTCCCCAAAACGAGCGCCAACCAAGCCCAGCAAGAGCGCCCCAAAAACCGGCGCCCACAAGCGCCCACAAGCGCCCACAATGCCCACAAACCCAGCAAGAGCAACAAAGCAAAAGCGCCCACAAGTGCCCACAAGGGCCAGCCCAGCAAAAGCGCCCACAAGCGCCCACAAGCCTAGCAAAAAGCAAAAGCGCCCACAAGTCCAGCAAGAGCGCGCACAAGCGCCCAAGCGCCCACAAGCCCAGCAAAAGAAAAGCTCTTAGCAGCCCACAAGCGCCCTCAAGCGTTATAAGCCAATAAGCGCCCACAAGCCCAGCAAAAACGCCCACAAGAGAGCGCCCACCCACAACCGGTTTGGATTAAGGGTAAGCAGGGCGTCTTTTACCAAAGATCAGACACATTTGCTTTGGGCCTAGGTTCTTTGAGGCATCTTCCACCAGCAAGAGCGCGCAAGCGCCCACAAGCCCAGCAAAAGCGCCCACAAGCCCCGCGAAAGCGCCCACAACCCCAAGAGAGCCCACAAGCGCCCACAAGCCCAGCAAAAGTGCCCACAAGCCCAGCGAAAGCGCCCACAACCCCAAGAGAGCCCACAAGCGCCCACAAGCCCGGCAAAAGCGCCTACAAACACCCACCGCCACAAGCCCAGCAAAAGCGCCCACAAGAGCGCCCAAACAGCAAAAGCACCCACAAGAACAAGCCCAGCAACGCGCCCACAAGCCCAGCAAAAGCGCCAACAAGCCCAGCAAGCCCCGCAAAAGCCAAGAGCGCCCGCAAGCGCCAACAAACGCCCACAAGCCAGCAAAAGCGCCCAAAGCACAGCCCCACAATCCCAGCAAAAGCGCCCACAAGCCCAGCAAGAGCAGGCCAGCAAAAGCGCCCACCCACAAGTGCTGAGCCCAGCAGAAAGCGCCCGCCCAAGCAAGCGCCCACAAGCGCCAACAAGCCCAAGCAACAGCGCCAACAAGCGCCCACCAGCACCCCACACACGCCCACAAGCCCAGCAAAACCGCCCACCAGCAAGAACGCACAAGCGCCCAAGCCCAGCAAAAGCGCCCGCAAGCCCAGCAAAAGCGCCCACAAGCCCAAGAGAGCGCACAAGCGCCCACAAGCCCAGCAAAAGCCCCCACAAGCCACAAGCCCAGCAAAAGCGCGCACAAGCCCAGCAAGCCCGCAAGCGCCTACAAGCCCAGCAAAAGCGCCCACAAGGCAAAGAGCGGCCAGACCGTCAAGCCCAGAAAAAGTGGCCACAACCCCACAAGAGCGCCAAGCCCAGCCGCCCACAAGCCCAGCCCACAAGCCCAGCAAAAGCGCCCACAAAGAGCACCAACAAGCCCAGCAAGCCCAAGCGCCCGTAAGCCCAGCAAAAGCGCCCACAAGCCCAGCAAAGCCCAACCAGAATCCTCACAAAAGTGCAGCAAGGCTGCCACCTGCAGGCGCCCGCCTGCTCGCAGCAACGTTGCAGCCTTTGGGCTTGTGTGCATCTTAAAGGGATACACTTCTGGGTGATGGTGGGTTGCAACCCGAGAAGCGGGAACAACGGGAAAAAACGAGCGGCAGAACGCAAGTGCATGTGGGCGCCACAAACCCACAAGCAAAAGCGCCCACAAGAACCCACAAGCCCAAGAAACCCACAAACCTAGAAGAGCGCCAAGCCCAGCCAGAATCCCAGCAACAGCGCCCGCAAAGCCCAGCAAGAGCAGCCCAGCAAAAGCGCCCACCCACAAGTGCTGAGCCACAAGCCCAGCAAAAAGCATTTGGAAGCCCAGCAAGGCGCCCACAAGCGCCCACAAGCCCAAGCAACAGCGCCAACAAGTGCCCACAAGCCCAGCAAGCCCAGCAATAGCGCCCACCCACAACCGCCCACACACGCCCACAATCCCAGCAAAACCGCCTACCAGAAAGCCCGCCCAAAAAGCCCACAGGCGCCTACAAGCCCAGCAAAGGCCCACAAGCCCAACAAGAGCGCCCACAAGCGCCCGTAAGCAGAAGCGCTTCGCCAAAAGCGCCTACAAGCCCAGCAAAAGCGCGCGCAAGCCCAGCAAGCCCCTACAGGCACAGCAAAAGCCCACATAGCAAAAGCGCTTACAAGCGCCCACAAGCCCAGCAAAAGCCCAAGCGCCCACAAAATCGCAAGCGCCCACAAGCGCCCAGCACAAGCCCGGCAAAAGCGCCCACAAGCACCCGCAAGCCAGGAAAAGCGCCCACAAGCCCACAAGATCGCCAAGCCCAGCCGTCCACAAGCCCAGCCCACCCACGCAAAAGCGCCCGAGCACGCGCCAACGCCCACAAGCCTAAGCCCAGCAAAAGCGCCCACAAGCCCAGCAAAAGCCCACAAGCGCAAGTGCAGCAAAAGCGAAAGGGATGAAACATGTGGGCGCTTGTGGGCACTTCTGGGTGATTGTGGGAAAAGAAGGAAAAACGGGATCGAGCGGGAAAAAACGGGAAAAAACGGGATCGAGCGGGAAAAAACGGGGAAAAACGGGAACGAGCGGGAAAAAACGGGAACGAGCGGGACAAAACGGGCTGACGCGAGTGCATGTGGGCGCGTGTGGGCGCATGTGGGCGCATGTGGGCGCGCATGCGGGCGCCGGCAAAAGCGCCCACAAGCCACACAAGCGCCCACAAGCCCAGAAAGAGCGCCCACCCACAACTGCCCTCTCACGCCCACAATCCCAGCAAAACCGCCCACCAGCAAGAGCGCAAGCGCCCACAAGCCCAGCAAAAGCGCCCACAAGCCCAAGAGAGCCCACAAGCCCAACAAGAGGCCCTTACAGGCTCAGCAAAAGCGCTTTTCGTTTTTGCTGGGCTTGTGGGCGCTTTTACCGGGCTTGTAAGACTTGGGCGCTTGTGGGCGCTTGGGATTTTGTGGGCGCTTGGGCTTTTGTAGGCGCTTGGGCGTGGGCTTGCGGGCGCTTCTGGGGTTTGGGCGCTCTTTTTGGCTTGTGGGCGCTTTTGCTGGGCTTGTGTCGGAGCCCACAACAGTGCATAGCCTTGTGTGTGGGCGCTTGTGGGCACTTGGGCACTTGTGTGTCGAAAAACGGCCCGACAGCAAAAAAAACGAGGAAAAAACAGGCTGACGCGAGTGCATGTGGGCGCATGTGGGCGCACGTGGGCGCCACAAACCCACAAGCCCAGCAAAAGCGCCCAGCCCCACAATCCCAGCAAAAGCGCCCACAAGCCCAGCAAGAGCAGGCCAGCAAAAGCGCCCACCCACAAGTGCTGAGCCCAGCAAAAGCGCCCACAGCCCAGCAGAAGCACTTAGAAGCCCAGCAAGGGCGCCCACAAGCGCCCACAAGCCCAAGCCACAGCCACAAGAACCACAAGCCCAACAAAAGCGCCCACAATCCCAGCAAGAGCAAAAGTGCGCACAACCACAAGCAGTCAGAAGCACACAAACACTCACAAACACTCACAAACACTCACAGACACGCACACACATACACACACACACACACTCACAAGCACTCACAAACACTCACAAACGCTCACAAACACTCACAATCACTCACAAACACTCACAAACACTCACAAACACTCACACAAACACTCACAATCACTCACAAACACTCACAATCACTCACAAACACTCATAAACACTCACAAACACTCTGCCTCCCTCCCTCCCTCCCTCCCTCCCTCCCTCCCCTCCCCTCCCCTCCCTCCCTCCCCCCTCCCTCCCTCCCTCCCTCCCTCCCTCCCTTCCTCCCTTCCTCCCTCCCTTCCTCCCTCTCCGCCCTCCCTCCCTCTCTCCCTTCCCGCCGCCAGCTGTTTCTTGCACACTGATTCACGTACGCAGCGTGTGCGCGCACGGACACACAAGGCGCTGAAGTTTTACGTGCGCCTGGGTACTCACAAAAGTAGCTAGAGGTCATCCACAAACAAGCCTCCGGAGTCGCTAACAACCACAAACTCCAGACAGAGAGGAGAGAGAGAGAGAGAGAGAGAGAGAGAGAGAGAGAGAGAGAGAGAGAGAGAGAGAGAGAGAGAGAGAGAGAGAGAGAGAGAGAGAGCGCACTACACCGCCCAAAAGCGCCCCCAGGCCCAAAACAGAGCGCCCACAATGCCACCGACGCCCACAACGCCACCCACGCCCGCGCAAGGAAGAACGCCCACAACAACGCCCACACAAGCTCAGCAAAATGTCCAAAGCCACAACCACTAAAATGGTCCAACCCCAACACGTGAGACTTCGCCTTTGTCCATCAACCGGTCAAAGGGTCTAAAACTACTGAGCTTCCCAGATACTCACATGTGAGTGGCGTTCTTGCTGGGCGTTGCGGGCGTTGTTCTTGGGCTTGTGGGCGCATCTTTCTGGGCGTCGTGGTTTTGACGCGGCTGTTCTTCCTTGCGTCTTCCGGGAGCGCCGTTGCGGGCGCCCTTCCTTGTGCTTGTGGGCAGTTTTGGGGGCTTGTGAGCATGTGGGCGCCGGTCTGTGGCTGGGCTTGTGGGCAGCGTTGTGGGCGCTTGGGCGTCTTATTGGGCGATGAAAAGGCAAGGCTGTTATGCGTTTGGGCAGGCGAGTGGCACCAAGAAGCTTGGGTTCTGGGCAAATGACACAAGACCTGACCGAATTTGACAGACAGGGACAGGGAAAGCAAAAGGAGAATCTCCTTGCGGGCCCTCAACAAGACGAGCCGAATAGGTTGACGGTTAGATATGCGCGGCGCAGCTAGTCCAAAAATAAAACAACCTTGCGGCCAAAGGCTATGGGGTTGGGCAACCTTTCTCAGCTGTTGGGCCAGAAATGCTTCCAGAAGGTGTCGTTGAATGCCGCCCTTGTAAACATTAACAGGCGGCAACTTGAACCCTTCCCTTTGGATTCTCACTCCCTGGTCCTGGACTTTAGTTATTTTTGGGAAGATCATGTTAGTTGTAAACGACAACTTTGGTTGCAGTTTTTGGCCAGTCCACTCAGAGTCAGGTAAACATGTTCAACCCCCATGAAAAGAAGGCTTGAACCCCAGTAATGTAAGCGCCCATATGGACCGCTGAGGGCGCCCGCAACAGCGCAACCCTAGCTCTCTGCTGGGTGCGCTTGTGGGCGCATGTGGGCGGGGTTTCATTGGGTGCTTGTGGGGTGTGAGGGGGGGGGGGTGGGCGGCACTGTTGCAGGCGCTCCCTTCATAATTGCTTGCGGGCACTTGTGGCCGCTCTTGGTGGGTGCTTGTGGGTGGTTGCGGGCGTTCTTCATGAGTGCTTGCGGGCGCTTGTGGGCGGCAGTGGGCGAGCGCCCATATGCGCCGCACACCCAAAAGCGCCCAAGAAGAGCCCCCACATGCGCCTAGAAGCACCCGCCAAGAGGAACGCCCACAGAGGCAACAGTGCTGCCCACAAGCGCCCGCAAGCACTCATCACGCACGCTTGCAAGACTTCCGTCCTTGTGGCCCACATGCGCCCACAAGCCCCACGAAGGAGCGCCCACAAAGCGTCCGCAAGCGCTCATGAACATCGCCCGCAAGACTTCCGCCCACAAGCGTCCACCAAGACAGCCCACCAAGAGAGGCACAAAGGGAGCCGACAGCGCCTGCAAGCGTCCTTGAAGTGAGCGCCCACAACGAAATGCCATTCCTTCACAGCAAGCCGAAACTGGCTGATGCTGGCCGAGGCGGGCAGCACGAAGCGTGTACAATAAAAATGTGTGCTCGCGGAGCTTACCCTTGCAAGCGCGAGCTCTACGTTCAAGGGCTGCTTTGTTTCCTGCTGTTTCATGTTTCTTTGCTGCTGTTTCCTGATGCTTCCTGCTTCTTCCAGCTCTTTGGAAGGCCCCGAAAACAAGAGGCCCCACAAGGGATTTGCTGACTCTTCCCCTGGCTTGGTTGAAATTTCGAGCTTGTCCCTTCTTGTCCCTCCCAAATGAGCCATAGTGATATGGCCATGGGTCATAACCTATGTACCACCTATTTTGATGCTCACCAGGGGTACAGGGTTTTGACCCACAGCCATATGTTGAGCGAACCTGAAAAAATGGGGGGGGTGAGCAGGGGGGGTACCCTTTGCTCCTTAAAGCTTGAAAAAGGGCAACCACTGGAACAACCGCTACACGTCCGGGGCTCAAAGCCCCAGCTGTCCTTCTGCAGGTTGTCACAGAGCTTTTCCAGCGCATCACGCTGCTTCTGCATGACCTGAGGCTATCTGATTGTGAGGCACTCGTCGCACCCGACAATGGCCCTCTGAGCAAGACAAGGGCATTTTACAGCCTTGGAGATGACCTTTCGAGTCGAATAAACAAGCTGGTAAGCCGCAACAATGCAATCGAACTGCCAAATTTCATGCTTACTCTCGCTTAGCTTGCAGGACTGGCGGGTGCAATTCAATGCCCCGCATTCAGGTGCCGGGCAGCCAGTCAGCCAGTCAGCAAACAGGAGACTTCGAAAGCACTGTTTGGCCAGACCTGGAGCCTGACCACCTTGTAATGCTGTGGATGGACGAAATCCATTTCGCACCGCCTAAGAGGCCCTGGAGGGATGATTCCCCTGTAAATACCAACAAACAGTGGTTTCCCATTTTGTCCATCCACCGTGTGTCCCAAGTTGTCAAACTAGGTCCCTTTTTGCGATGGCTTTAAACAAGTGTCCAGTCGACTGTGATTTCTGGCGTCAACACAAGTTTCTCCCTCAAAATCGGTTGGCAACTCAATGTTCCCTTTTGCAACCGTCCCAGGGTAAAGGATGACGGAACTGAGGCGTTGGCTCAACACCCTTGAATTGAAGAGGTCCATGGCAACTGAAGGAAACTTTATAGCATCACCTTCGGGGGATGGGAGCCCTATTCCATTGACACGAGAAAATTGACCAATCGAAACGGGGTGAGGAAAACCACGGGGAAATCTATCTTTGGGTCCGAGAGAAAACCGTGTCCTTTTTGTCAACCCGAGGACATTTTTCAAGAGGGTGTGGCTCAACATTGTCCCCAAAACCGCAGACTTTGTCGTGTTCGGCAAGGGGGTTGAGGGATACCAGCATACCCTCAGTTGCCCAAAGGACCTAGAAATAAAAGGTTAACCTTTTGGAGCCATGACGCAAAATGGACAAAGGGGAAACCAAAGGTCATCTCAGGTTGATTCGCTTTGGGTAAGTGAGTACGGATCGGGGTTCTACTTTCTCACTACCCCAGACTTAGCCCCAGAATTGGTGCATTCCCCCCAAAAGGAAGACTTAAACCGGGTTGAAGTCTATGGGGTAGCCAAAAAGTGGAACCACTTTTGAGCCACAACCAACTTTTGAGCCACTTTTGAGCCACATCCCAGGATGCCCTTTGAGCCACCAACTCAACTCCACTCCACTCGACGTCCCGCGCAGTTCCACTCGGCTCCGCGCCTGCTGCTCCGCCGCGACCTCGGAGAGCCGCGCGCTGCTGCGGAGCTCCGAGTTCTCCTTCTCGAGCTCCTCAGATTTTTTCGGCGTCCAAAATGTGAGGTTTTTTGACCCCAAAGGAAAAACAATAGGTCCTGTAGTGGAGAAAAATAACATCCCCTTAACACCAAGAGGGGAATATAAAAGAGATTCTTGTTAGAAAATGGAAGTTGAGCTCCAAGTTCCCAAGCTTCTAGGGGTTGATTCAACTTGTCCATTCTTTTCAGCCATCGTTCTTTTCAAAAACTGGATCGCCATGTCCCCAGGGTTTTTGGTGGTTTTCTAGAAAGAAGGATCCCTGGGAAGAATGGGGAAGCTACCCCTAGAAAGTTGGCTCTCGAATTGGGGGGCGTCACACACAAGAATCAGAGCTGTAGGGGAAGCTTCCATGTCCATTCTTTCCAGGGATTCCTTCTTTTCAGGGAGCCATCAAAAACCCAGGAGAAATTAGCCGGCTTTTGAAAAGAAGGATGGTTGAAAAGAATGGAATCACCCCCTAGAATAGCTAAACCAGCTTCAATTTCAAATTCTCAGAAGGCAGGCCCTTTGGGTCTCAGACCACAACTTTTGGCCGAGGTTCTCAATTTTACAGAGCTTCCCTCACCGGCTTGCTTTGCTTCGCCCTTGAACTCCCCCACTAAATGACACTCGCGTCAAATTGGGCGGACCAATTCCTCCTAAGCTTGGCCTTGTGGGCACAGACCGAAAGAGTCTTGCGCCATCTACTTTCTCAATGATTTCCCTCACCAGACAAACTCTCCAGCACCTGCCGGAAAAAAAAGGGCGGCTCCTCCATGTGCGCTTGCAAAGAGTCGATCTCTTCTTTGCACTCACCTCGGCTGTCACAATTGCATCCTCTCCGTGGCAAAGATTCTTGGCCAAGCTCCGGTACTCAAAAGTTTGAGGCTGTCAAGGACCCCTGAAGTCACGCGAGCTGGCCAAACCCAGCAGTAACTTCAGGGATCCTTTCCAATCAAACCTTGGTACTTAAAGGATGCTTGGGCACTGTCCAAAATTGGGCTTTCCGTTGAAGGGGAAACCAAGGGAAACCAAACGGCACCTTCGGAAAGAAGGGAACACCCCCCCTTGTTTTCTTAAACCAAGGCAACCTAAACAGGACGCCGATGATCTCTCAACTGTCCCCCTCCGGTACCAAAACCCGTCAGACCAAGACGCTGTGGCGCTTGTTGGAGCCGGAGACTTGCTTCGAGAACTCATCCTCGGCTCGAAGGGCATTGTGCTTTGGGCACGGGGAGAAGGGCCCCAGGAATTTGGTGAGCGCGGTGTGACCATGCTTCCATTTGCTGAAGTCCCCTGGAAAAAGCAACAATTCCTTTAAAACCGACAGACAGGGGAAAAGAAAACATGTTCCTGAGCAAATGGAAAAATGTATTGAGACGTAGATCTCCATCGATGATGGTCCTACCAGTAGGTACAATGCACCAAACGCTTGCAAGCAATCCGACCCAAGAGCGCTCCAACACTCCACTGTTCCCCACTGGTCGGTCTCACTGGCGGTCTCGGGTTTCTCATGAGGGAGCATTCTTCGCCAAACCGCGAAATAAGGAAACCCAAGCAAAGGAGCCTGCATGTCGGTCGCAACCTAATCTGCTTCGGTGGTGTTTTGTCTTTGGCCAACCTGATCTTGGGCGTGCAATCACATCCTTTGACTTCAAGCTTTGGCAAACCAGGCGTAGAAAGCATCCGCAAGTCAAGCTATGCACAGGTACAGCACACCTGGTGACTCCAAATGTGTGTCCGGTAGATCACATACGAAGCAATGAGAATGTCTACAAGCTGCTCCATGCAACTGAGCTGTTAAAAGCTTCCGCCCAACTCTGCGACCCGAACATGCCCCCACGACACACACACACACACACACACACACACACACACACACACACACACACACACACACACACACACACACACACACACACACACACACACACACACACACACACACACACACACACACACACACACACACACACACACACACACACACACACACACACACACACACACACACACACACACACACACACACACACACACACACACACACACACACACACACACACACACACACACACACACACACACACACACACACACACACACACACACACACACACACACACAAACACACAAACACACAAACACACAAACACACCCACACACACACACACACGCGCAAACACAAACACAGAGCATTGTTATTGTTGTGTTTGTTTGTGTGTGTTTTGACACACCATGCACAAATGTGTATTTATATATATATATATATATGTTATACACATATAATCCACGCCCACGCCACACAGGTTGCTGGCTTGGTCCTCAACCCCTGGCTCCTGCTGGGACCAAACTGGCTCGCGGGCATCCGGGCGAATTTCTTCAGTATGCCCTGCAAATCGTTCTGCAGCACAGTTTGCGTCTTCCGCAGCGTCTGGCATGCGAGAGAGGTGCTTGCGCAAGCAGCCACAGGACACTCGTGAACCCGCCAACACACCACTACTCCCTCGGAAGGCTCCAGCATGTACCTCCAAGCATAGGTGTGTTGGCTTTGGGCTTTTGCAGAGCCGTCAAAAGGGTCAGGAGCTGCACAAACAATGTGAGCATCTTAGATGTCTGGACTTGAGAGATGGTGCGTGAAGGAAGGAAACGACCAGGAGACCAACCATTCCTGGTTTTGTGGGACATTTAGTGAGTCCCCCAAGTCCCTCTTGAAACTACGGTTGGACCGAACCACAAAAATAATCTCGGGCAGATGTTTTATGTTTTGCGGGGGACACGGGAAATCGGGTTCCTCCAAGTTTCCCCACAGTTTCTCCCATGTCCACAAACAACAGACGATGAACAAAATTTGCCACCTGTTCAAACTTTGGCTGTGGTGTTTCCTGGTCTCAAATAAGAAACCCCAAAATGGTTGGTCTTCTCTACGCCTCTATGCGTCTCTTGTCGAAAAGCACACAACAACCCCCGTAGAGCAACCCAAGAAAGGCAAATACCCAGAATCAGGGGCCCTTTGCATCCGCTTTAGAAGGCGGCGGCTTCAGCGACGCCATCCCAAAACGGCCAATAGTTTTGACAACCCATGCGGATGAAACGCGAATTCTGCCTCGTTCTGCTTCTCCAGCTGCGTTGCATTCGTCTTCGAGGCCGTGCACATGGCCTCACGCGTGTCAGCCCGCGTGTGGCCAAACCGACTTGTGGGTGTGTTTTTGGAGGGTACCTCTTTGCGATGGTTTATGAAGAATTCAAAGAGACACCACCACTTTGGCTGTGATAACCTTTACAAAGACAACATCCGAAAATACTGACTGCGACCAAACCAAATCCGGCCCACCAACATCCAAGAAACAGTCTGGTGGCTTCAGCTTAGATGAACCAGAGGGCCTCAAAAGTCGCGGACAGGATCAGCTTATGCTGCCTTCCCACGCTACACAAAGGCCCCACCCTTTCTCGAAAAAGGGGGCCAGCTGCGAAACATGGTCGGACCGGAGCCTGGCACAAAACATTATTTTTTAGAAGCAAAGACATCCCTGCCCATAGATCATATCACTTTTATCCAGCAACCAAAAAAAACAAAACCCCTATGAAAGGTGACGTGTTTAAAACGTGCACAATTGTTTGAATCAAATCAACACTGAAGATACCAATACTGATGCCTCAAACTATAGTTCAGTCTGAGTAACATGCTCGACCCCCAAACACGGCACCTATGCCCCTTAGTTGCGCAGGTCCGCGGCAGGCTGATGACGAAAGAATCTAGACATAAACATATGACCTCTGCTCCCGCACTGCCTCACAGTGAAAAGCGTCCCAATCCAAAATGCACTAGCACTCCAATCAGGTATGTGGAGATGTAAACGAGTCTCTGGGTGAGGGTAGCTGGAATGATTGGATTCAGGTTGGTTCGGTTTCGGAATCAGCACCAAAGACAAGTCCCCACTTTTGAGGCCAGCCCCAAAACTCTCTGCCCATCCTTTCATGTTGGCATCCTGCATTCCGAGTCGCTAGAGCTAAATCAAACAAATTCCCCGAACAACACGGGCCGAAACCTTCACATCAATGGTGGTTTCTCATCCATTACGCAGGGTCTGGCTCCTCAAGCAGAGAGTACTAGGTAGTCTTCTAGACCGGTTTCTGGCATACCCTTACAGCCGCATTTTGCGCCTCCGTTGGATCTTTCTCAGGCTGGCAGCTCTCTTTTGCTGGACATCCCACGCAGAAGCATTGGCTAGCGCAACCGATCCAATCTGTCCAACCATGTAGGAACCGGACTCTGCTTCAAGGAAACCAGCATGAAACTATCCAACACAAAAAAATGGACCGCTCATGACAAAACCCGCCTCGTGCTCTTTGAGCCTCTCGGTGGCCGCCTGGACAGATGTGGCGGCAAAAAAAATGCAAAGGGCCAAACACCAACGGCAAAGCTCTGGGCTGGTTTGGAGCAGAATTCAGGGAGGGTTCCGGCGAACATGTGGCCCATGAGTTGATCATGGGTAGGGGCGCGGGGAGAC